TTTAACTGCCAGCCTAAAGAAAGAGGCAGTAGTGATTCTGGGAAGTGCTCCATCTTTGATTGTGAGAGATAGTCAAAGGAAAGTTTCCTTCTCCATAGAAGGCCAAAACCTTATTTACATCCCGAACCAGCAGCGAGGGGACTCCTGCCCTGTGGCATGATTCTCATGCTGCTGTGATTTGAAGACCAAGCTGTGGGAGGGAGTGGAAGACAGGAGTGCCTGGCGTGCTCTGGTCCATGGGGTCACAAAGAGTTGGACACGACTAAACAACTAAACAACAACAATTGGGAAAAACCCACCTCAATGGGTCTTCCTTAAAGGGCCTTTGGACAGTAGTTCAGAGCCATTTGAAGCATCTGATGAAGCTATGCCCAGCCTCAGCTTGCTTCCTCCCTTTCTCCACGCCTCTCCCCTTTCCCTTCTGTCTTTTAGATTTAGCTGTTCTTGAAAACCGCTCAGGGAGCTCTGAATGTGTGTGTGTACTAAAGAGCGGGGTAAAATACATTGAATAACTAGATAAATGAACGTTAGGAGTGGGATTTCAAATTTACAGTGGAGCATTTTCTAGTTTTCTAAATGGAGCTGCGTTCTGCTCTGCTGCAGTGCTTGGTGGTGGAAAGGAGGACACCTTCTAAGCAGGTTTTGGGGGCACAAGTGGTATGGGGTGGCTGAGGAGGGAGAGGAAAGGGAAGTCCCACTGGGCAAAATGAACCCTGCTTGCACAACCTTAGACATTGCCTGATACCCTGTCATAGGATCCAACCACATTGTTTTGCTACCATTTTAAAGTGAGGAGAGGTTGTGTGTTCTGTGAGAGCGCCTGCTATGGTAAAACTACAATTATGTTTACTATGCTGCAGCTGAAATACAGTGGTACCTCGGGTTAAGTACTTAACTCGTTCTGGAGGTCTGTTCTTAACCTGAAACTGTTCTTAACCTAAAGCACCACTTTAGCTAATGGGGCCTTTTGCTGCTGCTGCGCCTCCAGAGCACAATTTCTGTTCTCATCCTGAAGCAAAGTACTTAACCCAAGGTAATATTTCTGGGTTAGCGGAATTTGTAGCCTGAAGTGTATGTAACCTGAAGCGTATGTAACCCGAGGTACCACTGTAATCTTTCTGTGAGAAACAAGGAGACGTGCAGAATGGTGCCTGGTGCCAATGGGAAGACTTCTCTGAGCTATAGTTTATATCACATCTCCAAAACTTTTTCTGTAAATCCTTTAGTCTAGTAACCTACATGCACTGGAGTCCTCAAGATGGTGTCCTCATCTAGGAATCCTCAAGATGTTCTGGACTGCAATTCCCATCAGCCATTGCCAGGGGTTAGGGGTGATAGGAATTCTACTCCAACAACATCTAGAGGACATCAGGTTGGGGGAAGGCAATTCTAGAGCTTCTAATCTTCTTATTATTAATGTGGCTGGCGTTTATTGATGATCAAATGCTACTTCCCTCAAATGGCCTCTCCAGAACAAATGACTTCCACACAGAGAGCGCCTCATCCCTCTGCTTGCAGTTGTCGAGCCCCGAAGCCTCTACTGTGAAATTAACAGAGTTCTTTATTGATAAAAACAACAACACAAATTGATTATCTCATTTGCTTTTGAAGCCTACCAAGGAATGTAGTTGACATGTACCATAAATGAATGAATATAGCTCTCATCTTGTTTTCAGTTAGTGTGCTTTTATAGGGTAGTTTTTCAAATTATTATCTTATTTCTGTAAGTAAGGCTTGAGATGCAATATTAACTTTCTATAGTTGGTTAGTGCTGCAGTTTTGACCCACCATAGGTCATGCTGTAATTCAGTCACAGCCAATGTTTTAATGAATTGTTAAGCTTAAACACTGGACAGATTAAATACTCTGCCCATCATACTTGAGGTACTGTGGTACCTTAGGTTACATACGCTTCAGGTTACATACGCTTCAGGTTACAGACTCCGCTAACCCAGAAATAGTGCTTCAGGTTAAGAACTTTGCTTCAGGATGAGAACAGAAATCGTGCTCTGGCGGCGCGGCGGCAGCAGGAGGCCCCATTAGCTAAAGTGGTGCTTCAGGTTAAGAACAGTTTCAGGTTAAGTACAGACCTACAGAACGAATTAAGTACTTAACCCGAGGTACCACTGTATTGGCTGTACAAAAAAACCAGTGTCGAAACTAGTGTCATTGCAGGAAACACTGTTCCTGCATAAGATTGTGAGGCAGTCCTTGGATATTTGGGGCAGAAGGAGGGGGTGGAGAATGAGACAGGTTTTTCTGCTTATCCGCATTGCATACAGAAGACCCCAGGTTCGATTGGAGAAGGAGGTCTGTAGCTCGGTGGTAGAGCATCTTATTTGCATTCAGAGGTTTCCAGGTTCAGTCCTCACTATTTCCAAGGTAGGGCAGTGTTGGGGTATCTGCACCACATAGACCCAACTTTCCCCATTTAGCCCGCAATGCTAATTTGGGCAAGCAACACCCATGTACCCTGTACCTGAACTCATACATGGGTGAGGCTTGGCTCTGCTGATCAACCCCCTTCCGCAGCTTCCAGGGTGCCCAACAACCAGGGGCTGGCATTGAAACTGCTGCTGAAACATAGCAAAACGCCTTTTAGCATCGCCTTGCTGCCTGCCAAGCGCTTTGAATAATAATATCATAATAATAATTTATTATTTATACCCCGCCCATCAGACTGAGTTTCCCCAGCCACTCTGGGCGGCTCCCAATCGAGTGTTAAAAACAATACAGCATTAAATATTAAAAACTTCCCTAAACAGGGCTGCTTTCAGATGTCTTTTAAAAATAAGATATATGCTTATTTCCTTGACATCTGCTGGGAGGGCATTCCACAGGGCGGGCGCCACTACCGAGAAGACCCTCTGCCTGGTTCCCTGTAACCCCACTTCTCGCAATGAGGGAACCGTCAGAAGCCCCTCGGTCCGGGCTGAACGATGGGGGTTGAAGTCCCAACATGCTTTGAAACCCCACCCAGCTGTCAGATTTAACCCTTGCAGCAGATCCTGATAAAGATCTGGCCCTTGGGGACAAAATGGTCCCCAAGTAGATAGGACTTTGGGTTGCCCCTTACTGAAACCCTGGAGAGGTGCTGCCCGTCGTTGTTGAGAATCCTAAGCTTCATGGACCAAGGGTCTGACTGCCAATACAAGGCAGTGACCTCTGTTTCTGTGGCCAAGAAGAATTCAATTTGACCTGACCAGCTCAGATGCTGATCCAAATAAAAGAAAGATCAACCCTTTAAGCGCAACAAGATGGTTTGCGACGAGGGGAAGCAAATAGCTAGAAGCCTGTATATGTTGCGTAGTAAGCTGTGTCGAGTCCCCCCCTCCTTTTTTTTAATATTCTGTTTGCAGTAACGGTGAACAGAGCATCTAAAATAACCACTTTCACATTGCAACAAACACATCATCATTTGCTTAAAAAGAGTTATAATTACAGTTGACGAAGCATGGCCACCATAAAAATGCATTAGTTTAGCTTGACACATTAATTACCTGTTTTTGCAGATGTTTTTATATATTGTTGTGCGAACAGTTTACAAAATAATTACAGGAAAGTCATATGGAAAACAAGCTAAGGGGGTGGTTTCTCGCCCAAATATTTTCATTCATGTGAATTTGCGTGAGGCACAGCTGCTGTATAGCAAATGGGGAGGGAGGGAGAGAGAAAGAGAGAGAGAGAAGAGGAATCTCGAAGGGTTTTTTTTTTTATTTGAAGGTCTCTGTCATCAGCATTAACACACTTTTTATATCTTTCTTCAGAGGAGGCTAGTTTTTTCAAACATTTAAAATGACATTGCTCATTTTCTTTTCTTTTTTCGAATCTGACTGATTTAGGTGAAAAGCTTTGATCTTTATCAAATGAAACACAAATATCTGCTGGTATCTAGGAAAACAACGAAATAGAAAATGAATCTTTTGTTTGAAGTGGGGTGACCTTGCATGATCTTGCCATCAAGAAAAATTAAAAGCTTTAATGCAGTTAACACTTGTATTCCTATATACATATGAACCCACAAAGCACTGAAAAAAAGAAAGCATCTTAAGTGAACTTAGGAGAAATGCCTATTGAATACCTCAAGATATGTGCTAGAAATATGAATTGTTACAATTTGATAATAATTAGCAATTTCTTTGTCTTGTGTTTGATGTTTATGCGATGAATAGAATCGGAGGCATGTGCAGCATGTTAATTTTTATCTGTTACAAACTCAAAATATATTGTTTGTAAGCAGCAGTCTCTTTCATTTAAACAAGGAAAATAGAATCCTCAACTTTATCCTTAACACCTCAAAAATTCTAAGCTAGAAAATGTTAGCATTGAATGAGATGGTAAATTCTATATGTGTGTGAGTGTATGTGAGTGTGTGTAATAGATGTTAATGTCCAGAATTTGGTGACAACAATAACAATTTTGTTAATTCTATACCGCCCATCTGGCTGGGTTGCCCCAGCCGCTCTGGGTGGCTTACAGCACATCTAAAAACATAGTAAAATGCCAAACATTAAAAAAACTTCCTGATAGAGGTGAATCATGCAAATACAAACAATCCCAGATGAATTTTATGAATATCTGTGATACTGAAGCCAAATTGAGCAGTAGTAGTTGGAGGTTATGTAAATACTACTAGGTAGAATTACTTAGTAGTTGGAAGCTTCCAGCAACTCACAACTATGATTTTGAATACAAATGGAAAACCACTGGGTTGTTGCCAGCACTGAACATGTGGTATTCTGCTCGCACAACTGGACTTCCTCTTCCCTTCCTGTGCGCCTGTAAAATCTTCTCCAGAAGGTCCTCCAATCCTCTGAGGCAGATTTTGAGGCAGTGTGTAGGCTCTGTAGGGGAGAGGAGAGAACCACTGCATGAGTAGAACTTTACTTTTCTAGCGGAAAAACAGCTTTGGATGCAGCCCACTGATTTGAGCTGAATCTACAGGAAGACAAAATCTCAGAGGTGGCAGATTTTTAACACTCTTGTCTTATATCACACAGGGGAGTCAAGTCCAACACGCCGTGAAGCAGTGAAGAGGAAGACTTCGGAATATCTGATGCGAGCAGAAAAAATTTCAAGCCTCTATTGTAAACCCTCATCAGAAGACGGTTCGGTTTCTGGAGTAGGTTCTTTTCTTTTTACAAAATGCAAAATAATATCCAGTTGTGCCTCGGAAGTCAAACAGAATCCGTTCTGGAAGTCCATTCGACTTCCAAAACGTTCGGAAACCAAGGCGCGGCTTCTGATTGGTTGCAGGAAGTTCCTGCAGCCAATCGGAAGCCGTGGAAGCCCTGTTGGACATTCGGGTTCCAAAGAATGTTCACAAACGGGAACACTCGCTTCCGGGTTTGCAGCGTTCGGGAGCCAAAACGTTTGACTCGCAAAGGCGTTCAGCTTCCAAGGTACAACTGTAATCTCTCTTGGAGTGTTTGTATGTTTTCCATGCATAGTTGTTTGCTTTTCCTTATGAATTACAGAAGCAGGATTCTGCCAGATAAGCAAATATGTACAGCTTTGGACCAAAGCATTGCAGAAGTGGAGAGGGAAGGCTGCCCATAATTAAGGCACTATCCTTGCCATTAGAGAGAGGGAAGCAGCTATCTCAGGTGGCAGATTTGGGGGCAGGGAATGCCAGGGAAACATAGCTGTGTCTGCCATGTGGCTTGCACTGTGCCACGTGCTGTCCTCAGGTGCAGGGAAGGATGGTGTTTGGCCATCAACACTGGAGTCAGAGTCTACTGCCAGTGTTTGTGCATGGTATTTTGGGGTGTTGGTGGGCACCATCTTGACTTTTGCTTCAGGCAGACCATAGCTTCCCTGTCCTGTTTGGCTCATCAGCAATTATTTAGCTTATTCGTGGATTTTCAGCTTAATAAGGAAGAATGCTGGATTAAAGATCGCAATTCACAAATGAAAAAATAAAATAAAAAAGGCCAGTCCCAAGTATTGAGCACCACCTTCAAATATCTAAACGGCTGTCACATGGAAGATTGAGGAAGCTTCTTTTCCCCCGCTCTGAAGAGTAGGATCCATACCAAAAGATTAAAGTTGCAAGAAAGGATATTTCACTAAACATCAGGAAGAACTTTCTGACAGTAAGAGGTGTTTGACCGTGGAATGGGCTCCTTCGGGAGGTTGTGGACTCTCCTTCACTGGAAGTCTTAAAGCAGAGGTTGGATGGCTGTCTGCCATGGATGCTTTAGCTGAGACTCTGCATTGAAGGGGTTGGACTAGATGACCCTTGGGGTCCCTTCCAACTTTACAATTCTATGACTGCATGATTCTTAAACGGGGGCACAAAAACGGCAGTAGCACCACTCTCTGAGGAAAGGGTTGTTTGGGCAGGGTGAGAACAAGGAAGTTTGCAGGTGGATTTCTTCAGGTGTTAACTTCCAAACTGTAGAAGCAAACAATAGAAAAAGCACAATCTCACATCCCAGCTTTTTTTTTTTTTAAGTTGGAGGTTATGGAGGAGCCTTTCCTTCTGATTTGGAGGGAGGCGAGCAGACAGGATTGCACAGGAGAAGATGTTCTTTAAAGTAATGATAAGGGACACCTTGGTGATATGATAGTCTTTGAACATTAAGGTGCTTCTGAAGCCATCTTCAGTGCGATCTTTACATGGGGATTTTTCCAGCGAGGAGTGATTGTTAAAACATTTGCAGGAACTGGGGTGGTAGCTCTTGGACTTGGAACTGAGAGAACGAGATACATCCTTTAACAAATCTTGACTTTGCCCTTCTTCGGCAACAGCCAAAAAATAAAATAAAAGATTCCCCGAGGACCTTTCTGTTCTTAGCTTAGATGTCTTTTGCTGCAGTCACACAAAACTGTGTGTGATTGTCGATGACTGCTCTCATGTAGCAAACGTTAAAAGTTCCAAACTTCCTGTCTGTCTACATTTGTATCACAGAAGGACAAAAAAGGGCAAACGAGTCTTTCATCTTACTTTGAACAACCCTAAGAATAGTTGAAGGCAGCTAGTTGCTGTGAATAGGCAAAGGGGTAAATTAATCTCTGCCTCGCTGAATGGTGATTGCCTTTTGTTGTTGTTTTCTGTTTTGAGGGAGGGTTTTGGGGGCGAGAAAAAACAAAACAGAAGCCTCTTCTACTGCAATAGAACTCCCCAGATGAGCTTTGGAGGATGTTTTTCCCTCCCCCTGAGGGCAGCTTAATTTTTAGCGGTATATTTGTGCATTGGGATGTTATGGCACAGGGTTGGCCTTAAATTCCCTTCAGGTTCTTTCCAAGCTTAGAATGTAGGTCCACCTAACCAAAGATTGAATTGATTGCATAGCAGGAACTCCTGTGTGGAAATTTGTATAATTACCACAAGTATTTCAAGTATTTTGTCAAAGGTAGATGTGGTTTGAGAGAGGCATCAGCATAGAGCCTAACATTGCGGCCTGGCCTATATAGGAGGGGCCTGGCAACACCTTAAGCCTCCTATTTATAAAACCCTATGGACTATTGTCTTCACTGGATTCTGTGGGACAAACTTAGATGGATTGCAGCCGGGGTCATGGCTGAGAGGAGGCAGGTTTAACATTTTACAAAATGTCACACTGTATCTCTGGCCCCCATCTGGTATGCTCCTGTTTGGGGTTTCAGTCAGCCTGGAATGGTCCCCATGTAGGGAAAAATTCCATCTCACACTATGTCAATCATTCTGTCAGGACAGGCATTTCGGCTGGAAAGCATAGCTGTCAACTTTTCCCTTTTTTTAAGGGAAATTCCCTTATTCCCAATAGGCTTCCTCGCAAGAAAAGGGAAAAGTTGACAGCTATGCTGGAAAGCAGGAACGAGATCCCCTCCCCTTGCTCACGGTTCTGGGGGTTTTTCAGTCCCCTCCAACCCAATTTTGTGGAACATGGAGGGAGTAGATTGGGGAAGCCCCCATTTTGCCAGCAGAAGTCCTTGCTCTGCCCTCTGCTGACAGGATTCGTTAATTGAACCCCACACATAGTGCTTTTGAGGGGTTATGAGAAGGGAGGTGAGAAAGAAGAAAAAGACATTTGTTTATTTTTGCCTCCTGCCCTCCTGAAACCTCCCCACAAACTAGAACCATTTTTTCCCTTTTAAGCAGGGCAAATAGAAGCCTTCAGGTGTACAGCTGCACTTCCCTGTAGAGATTTGTGCTGTTCATGCAGACACCAGGAGGAGCAGCTTCTCAGAGTATAAAATGGGGGGAAGGGCTGCTTGGCTTAACCTCACTGCTCTCTTGTGCATTGACACAGAAGTAGACGGTCTGAACAGAGGTATTGGGGTGGGGTTTCACTAAGGCCACATTCACACCACACATTCAAAGCACTTTGAACAATCATGGCTTCCCCCAAAGAATTCTGGGAGCTGTCATTTCTAAGGGTGCTGAGAATTGTTAGGAAACCCCCCCATTCCCCTCAGTGTAGCTCTCTGAGTGGTTTAACACTCAATCCCTCCTCAAAAATTAACTGGGAATTGCAGCTGTTTGAAGGGAATTGGTGTTTCCTAACATGTGGGTGGCGCTGTGGCCTAAACCACTGAGCCTCTTGGGCTTGCCGATTAGAAGGTCAGCGGTTTGAATCCCCACAACGGGGTGAGCTCTGGTTGCTCAGTCCCAGCTTCTGCCAGCCTAGCAGTTTGAAAGCACGCCAAAAAAGTGCAAGTAGATAAATAGGTACCACTCTGGCGGGAAGGTAAACGGCGTTTCCCTGCGCTGCTCTGGTTTCGCCAGAAGCGGCTTAGTCATGCTGGCCACATGACCCGGAAAAACTGTCTGCGGACAAACGCCAGCTCCCTTGGCCTGTAAAGCGAGATGAGCACCGCAACCCCAGAGTTGTTCGTGACTGGACTTAGCTGTCAGGGGTCCTTTACCTTTTTTTAAACAACTAATCTAATTAGGGAATTTCTACCTTCTGTCAAAATGTGACTGATTTGGGGGGTGGCAGATTAACTCTCTCTTCTGCCCCACTTGGAGTTGTGACCACTAAGTGCATCTCCTTGGAGGGAAAGGATGTCCCTTACTTATACGTTTATGGTTGGGGAACAAGAATTAGGTTCACAATCCATAGTTAGTTTAAAGTCAGGCTATTTAGCAAATCACTTTTCTGGTTTTAGGGTTGTTGTTTTTCTAATGAAAGTCAAGACTGAATAATGGCACAAAACATTGGTGTAGTTTCTCTGCTATACTTTTGTCACTCTTATTTTTGTTCCTCTTCCTTCAAACCCAGAGTAATGGATACGGGTGGGGTTTCTATAGCAATGTACCCGAGATTCCTTGCATGCACAAAGAAGTGTCTAAATTCTTAATATTTTTTTCTTAAAATATTAATATTCCTTTTTGCCACATTTCCATTTTCAGTGTCCCAGCGATTTATTTACTATCAACTCCCCTGCTTCCTTTTTTGCATTAAGGACAAACAGCAAACTTCTTTCATCTTCCCTCTCTCTGATTTATGATAAATTTAGTTTCCTTCAGCCTGGCATTTGCTCCAGCAGGCAGTCTTCCTTCAAGTACCACCCTGATTGATGTTGTAATCTTTGATATCTTCCATTAGCCTCCAGGATCACTAAGTTCAAGGCCCTCTTGGAACCTAAGGAGCCCTGCCGAGGAACTGAAGGCCTTTAGAGTCCTTGGGGTGATTGACAAGGTAATTCTTCAGTGTCTCTTCAAGAGTTCAGTCATAAATCGACTGCATGCTGACATTCTGTCTTTGAAGCTGCGGATCTTAAGGATATGAAACAAAGAGGGAAAATGACTCAAATGCATCTGCACTTTAAAATAACAAAAGTAGAAGGGGGGAGGGAAAGGCTTTTATCTAAGCAATTCATGTAAGGTCATGCAAAATATATTTGAGCTAAAGAATATGGTGCCAGTCTGCAAAAAGGGCCCAGTGAAATTTTTATATTTTGAAAAAACGCTATGCCCCGGCTACTGTGCTGTAGCTAAAAACATGCCAAATAAGGTGCCAGGTTGCTTCCAGAAATGGCAGCTTTGAAAGAAAGTAAGATGGAAAATTGTGCATCCCGTCCCCCCAAAAGATGACGTCCCGATTTTACTCAAAAGGTAAGTGTAAATGCTGCAAATGCTGCCAAACAGGTTCTCAAGGCATGCATGTTTTGTTTTCTTTCAACCTTGGGTGCAACTTGAAGGGAGGCCCAGAAGTAACTTCAAAACAGGAGTTGCTTTAGGATGGGTTCTCTCTCCCCACTTGCTATGCTCCAGTTTTGCCTCCCTTCCCCATCCCCCCGTATTGGAACTGGGCAAACATTTTGTGGCTGCTTACACAGCATACGTACAAAGTACATGTGTGAATGGGATGCTGGACTAGATGGGCTACATATCCTGATCCGGCACGGCTTTTCTTATGTTCTAGGAAAGACTGCAGTTTTGGTCTTTCGGTATTAGGTGAGACGGAAAAAATATATATACGTTCAGTGGAGTTGGTGTGAGAGTCTGGGGAGTTAGTTGGAGGTTTGCGGGGTGTGTGTGTGTGTGTGTATGGCGTAGGGCAACAGAGGAGAATAAAAGTGAATTTTAAAAAGGTGTTTCTCCTTGTTCTTTTCAACCCCCCCAAGTTAAAAACTATGGGGCAGAAAATGATGGTTCCCTACCTCCTTATTTTTAGTATATGTGGGATAAAATACCTCCAGATTCCATCCAGGGTAATTTCGTTTTGTCTTGAGTAAACATTTATGAACAAGATGTGGCTCTTGTAAGCCTAATTGAGAGACCAAAGAGATGCTGCAATTAAAGTGACTGCCCTGGTTAAGTATAGCCAATTAGTGATCCAAGTCAAACTTGGGTGACATGCTAATGAAATGGGCTGTTTAACTTTTAAAGGCGCACTTCTTCATTCAGCATTTAATCTGCCAGCCTTTTGATGGTTCCTTGTAGTCACTCAGATGAGGTTTATTTCTTTCATTTATTTCAAAATTTTAAACGTGCCCTTTCATAATGTGTGCATTTGATCTGTACTCTAAATTCTGAGTTTAGCACCTCAGTTGCGAGGTGGAAATGCCTGGTTCATATACCAGTTCAGTCACATACTCTCACAGGATAGTGTTACCAGGGACAGAGGATGTATGACCTGCAGGGTGTGTTTGTATTTGTGTCTGTGTGTTTATGTGTGTTTGTGTAATGGAGAGAGAGAGGGAAATGGGTGTGGCTGTATGCTTTCCCACAGCAAGCATTGGCTCCTCCTACTCTTGCTGTGCTGCTGGCAACTCTTTTCCAAGGGAATGTGATTCTTCATGGTGAGCAGGGACATTCTGTATCTTTGACTTAGGTAAACAATTCCCTCTCTTTCTTAGGATAAGCATACTTACACGGTTATAAGAATTATTGAGACAACGAATATGAAGCATGAGACCTGCTATAGAAATCACACACACACAGAGAGACAGAGCAAATCAGGGGCCTTCATATATTATATATGTCAAGACTCTTGATTTGCATAACATTTTACTTTGAGTAGCGGTTACAGATGCCCAACCCTCCGATATCCAAAATATTGAAAATGCCAGATTCCCAAAGCATATGAACTAGGCCAGGCATAGGCAAACCCGGCCCTCCAGATGTTTTGGGACTACAACTCCCGTCATCCCTAGCTAACAGGAACCAGTGGTCAGGGATGATGGGAATTGTAGTCCCAAAACATCTGGAGGGCCGAGTTTGCCTATGCCTGAACTAGGCTCATGCACTAGAATTCTTCTGGCAGCTGAGACTGTCCTCTGTTTGCTAGAAATGGAGATGGTTGTTGAGGGGAGGGAGTTGGATATGTTAAGGTGAGAAGGAGGGAGGGAGCCGGTTTCTTTCTGTGCAGCCCTCCCAGCCAAGGACCCAACACTCTTGTTTGGACACTGGAGCCATTTGTGACCCATTGCCAGATCAGAACTTTGCAAGTGGCTCAAATTTCTTCTTACTACTATTAGTATTAATTAATTACATTTCAATACCACCCTTCATCCGAGGATCACAGGGCAATTTGCAATATAAAAACACAAAAATACACAACACAGTAACAAGCAAAACAATACTCCTCACAAAACTGAACTGAATCCTTCTCCAATAACTGTTGTCTCTCATATTCCCCTCTACCTCTGGTGTTCCTCTACGTCATATTTCATTCTGTTAGCCTATTCAGGCAGGGACTACCAATGTTTCTTCTTGCTACCCTGTAAGGGACCTTGTGCACTGATAATCATGTTCTTATTGCACTGTGTCCATGTTCAGAAATATGATTGCTGTTGGGAAGGAGTGGGCAACCCACTGCTTGTTGGTTAGAAATAAATACAAGAAATAAAGACACAAGAAATAAATACAAATACCTGATGGATGTCAGTGCAGTAAAACATGTGGCCTTGGGACTAACTAGTAACATCTCCCTTTCGATGTATGATGCATTAAGCTTGCAACGCTAGGAGACCTCTCAGTAATGTCTTGCCGCCTGGATTGCAGACCTCTTTGGTCAGAGCGCTTAGATTTGAGTCAATTTAGTTCCATTTCCTCCAGTGTCACTAGGTCAGGCTTGTAAGTCAACTTCTTTTTCATTCTCATCTGCTTACATCTACTTATAAGGGTCTGATCTGGTCTGGTGTTCCTTTCTTTGCGTATTTATTAAAGAGCCTAGATGGCAAGAGCAATTTGACCAAGCCGATGATAGCTTTCAGCTGTGTATACTGTATAAATCTGTAAGACGGTGGGATGGTCCAGGAACGACTTAACCTCCTAATCCTTCACCAGGAGGGATGGAGCAGATAGCTGCAAGTCTTGGGGTGCATCCATGTGTGGGATTCATCCACTGCTGGTGCACAAGCCAGAACTGCTTGCATAGGAGCAGGACGGAGCTTGAGCACTTCAGCGGCAGAGACCTATGAGATGCTGGCAGTCTGTTAGCGGAAGGCAACAGTCACTGCCTTCTAGGCCAGCCTTGCAAATAAGGGAAAAACAGAACCCAAGATCAGCAAATACAGAGCTTGCCAGATGTGCTCAGCCTCTCTTTTGCTCTCACTTGCTGGCAAGCAGAAATCAAGAGGAAGAAAGGGCAGCCAGCAAATGAGGATTTTTTTTGCCGCCTGAAGGAGGTTTTTGCAGGTGGTCTAGGGCCAGGAATGGCCAACTGGCAGACCAGAGACTGAACCAGTTTTATTTAGCTCCTTGTGGTCTTACTTTTCTTTAATCAATGCGTGGCGGAAAAAAGGAGAAGATGACGAAAGCGAATTGCAAGGAAAGCAAGGGGTTTTTCCACATTTGTAAGATAAGAACTTCAATCCCCATTTAATATTAAATCTCTCTTTGGATTTGCAATTCAATACCCTGGCAGTCGTGTCTGTGAGGAGGCCAGTTTGTGTGGTGAAAATACACACCTCTCCATCCCGCATCAGGGGAAAAGTTTCCAGAGATAGAAAAGTTGGTTGCTTTAGGTGTAGGCCATGCAGCAAACATTACATGTCTTATGGTGTTGCCCAAAGAATCCTGGGAATTATAACTTGGCAAAGATGCTGTCCTTCTCTGAGTTCTTGGAAAGAGCAAATTCCTGTATGGTGCCCATATGCCCCTTTCCCCTGGGCCTAGCAGCAGCTTCAGTGTATGTGGAGCAAATAGATCGGGGTGGTGGTGGCATGGGGGAAAGGGGGTAAATGCTTCCCCTGCAGCGCTGCTTCCCCCTATCAGATCACATTAGTAGCTCGTGTATCTGATTTGAAGTAAAGAAGGCGACACAGGGGAAATCCAGTCACAGGTTTCTTTGTGGCGTTTGCCCTCCTAGGTGACATCATACTGGGTCATAAGGAAAGGGTTAAATGAGTGTGAAGTGATTGGCTAGTGGGAACCCAAGGGGAGGAGTTAGAGTTAGTGTTGTTAAGGAGTTAGTCGGGTGTTAGAGAAGAGAGAGGGAGGATAAGTCTGTGGGTTGGGATAGTTTGATGTGAGAGAATGAGAGAATCTGTTACGAGGAGTCAGATAGACAGTTGGGATAATTAGTTAGAAGTTATTAGGAAGGTATAGGCCGGTAAGAACCTAAGATTAAGAGACTGACAAGAAACCATCTGAAACCATAAACTTGTTAAGGCTTAAAAAATAAACTTGTTTATTTGGTTTAAGGTTAACAACTGCCTGGACTCACTGTGTACCCGAGAGAAACGGGTTGGTGGCAGCGGGGAAGCAATCACAGTGGTGGCACAGGGATTAATAGACCGTCAAACGTCCGGGGACCCTGTGTGATCGCCACATTCTCACATAAAACATGTACTCTGACCCTCAGTTTCATAGAGCATAGAGCTGTAGAGTTGGACGGGACCACAAGGGTCATCGTAAGTCCAACCCCTGCAGTGCAGGAATCTTTTGCCCAACATTGGACTTGAATTAATGAGCCTAAAATTTAAGAGTCTCACGTTTTACCGACGGAGATACCTTTGTGAAATTTCTTTATTTTATACTCCCTGGGTCCCCATTTGGGATTCTGTTTTACACCAGCCAATGGAAAGTATTGAGGTGCAGACTTAGGACGTTGCCTTACACCGAGTTGGACCATTGGTCCATCTAGCTCAGTACAGTCTACACTGACTGGCAGCAGCTCTCTGGGTTTTCAGCCCAAACTGGAGAGGCCAGGGATTGAACCTGGGACCTTCTGCATGCAAGACAGATGCT